GATGGAGCCAGAGGCACACCAAACAACCTCTTAGTAGTACAACGAATCAACAAAACACCGAAGGGTCTAGCAACAACATAACTAAAGCAAACTAACAACAATGACCCGTTGGAATTGGACCTCAGCACGAGCCGTAGAAACATCAACTATCACCCTCCACTACTCTACACCAACAAAGACCTGACCCTCGTTAAGCTTACCCACAAAGCCAGTCGAATATCACACATCATTGATTGGCGGAGTCGTCAAGTCGAAAAAACAAAGTTAATGCGCACGCCACGCTTAAGCAAGCAACAACACAAGGGTTGGTCACTACCAAAATGGTGGACTTCTCCTAGTGTTTTTAAGTAGTAATAAAATAATACCAATAGTCATAGCACATAGAAATCTCACTAAAAGACATTTAGTAGGAAAAATTTATACTAAATGTTGAATGCTAAAACACTAGAAGAATTCCACTTCACCAAGGAAAGATGGAAATTTTGGTTGTGAGTCTTTGCACTCTGAATGGGCAGCAAGTGCAAAGGTCGGGCATTGTGTGCGCGGATAGGTGTCGCCACTTTGTTACATCCATCGTCTTGCATGCGTGCATGCATGATCCACTTCCATTACCTAGCTAGGAGTACTAGCATGATGATAAAGCGGTTGACTGCCAGAGTCTTTCGCTCTGACTGTCTCTTTCAGTTTCAGTCCACTAGTAAGAAGCAACGATAATGGCCCATCTGGTATGGATTCGCCGGCAGCTTCGAGAGCTATTTTTCAGCTCCGGTCACCAAACGGGGTCATGCCGCTCCACTTCACACAGGGAGCTCCGCAATTTACGCTGAGATAAACGAAGAGAGACAAGATGAGCCAAAAATACTGGCATCACCTAGCTGCGCCTCACAACAGAGACAGCAGTGGGCCCTCGGGCAGCCATGGTCGGCTTTGCCCTTGTGGAGCCTTCGCGCGGGCACGGTCGGAGCCAGCACCGGGAGCTAGGGACGGCCGCGCGGCGAGGGCACAGGAGGCGCGCCCGCGGGGAAGGACGGCGGCGCGGCCACGCGGCGAGGGCGCATGCGGCGCGCCCTCGCAGGGACGAGCATAGGCGGCGCGCCCGTGTGGGGAGGAGAGACTCCGCCGGGTTGCTCTGGGTCGGCGGTTCGCTGGGCCGTGCGTGGGCGAGCTCGCGTGGCCGCGGTGGAGCAGAGACGTGGAGCAGACGACGAGCGCCGTGCGGCTCGAGGAAGATGTGGACGCGGTGGGGAGAAAGAGATAAGGTAGACAGAAGGGAAATAAAGAAAGAAACAGGGAAAAGAAAAAAATGGGGTATTATCAGTATTTCACACCTTTCAACAATAATAAGAAGCTGTTTTAACTGTCCATCAAAATAGCAGCTCCACCTAGAGCTGCTCCTGGAGTTAGAGAAAAAAAAACGGAACGACTAGCGCTCGAAGGTCCGGACAGACAGGGCGTCTAAATGCCCGCGCCTGCAGTTGTTTCCCGCGCCGTTTCACGCGTCCACACGGGGCCCGTGTCGGCCCGAGCGTCACCAGCGTCGAGAAAGAGAGGGAGGGGGCGGCGGATGCCCAGCCGGCGTCGGAGGAGGAAGAGACACCGATGTGAGGCAGCAGAAAAATGAGGAGGGAGATGCAACACCCGATCTACGTTTGAAACATCCAGATGCAACACTTGCAACATATATCTGAAGGCAGATGAAATACTTAAAACATGCATACGAAACACTTGCTGCAACATTAGATCTACTTTAGAAACATCTAGATGAAACCAACATATGTACGAAAACAACTGAAACACTAGGAACATACGTCTGAAAAATTTACAAAAACATATGCAACATACAGATGAAATACTTGCAACACATACATCTGGAAAAAAAACAGATGAAACATTCGGAACATATACTTGAAACATGTGTATAGCCATTGCAATATGTGCAACATCCTGATCTACTTTTGCAACATCAAGATGAAACACTAGCAACATCCAGATGAAACATCTAAAACACTTAAAACATACACTTTCAATATGGGCTTTTAATGCAATGTCATCGTGTTGCTTGAACGAATGGAGGCTTGTCGTTGTGGTGCTCGACGCCGGTGCGAAGGTCGTCGTGCGGGGCGCGGCATGGGAAACTCGCCGATGGGATGGCTTCACACGAAGCTCACCCCCCTTACCTACTTGCTGGAGCATCCATCACGGAGGCTCGCCAGTCCGTGGAGGCGGCCACAGCGAGCGGGCAGCGCGATGGAGGTAGACAAGAGCGAGAGAGGACATGGTGAAGAATTTTACTTTTTGGCAAGGTGCTGACGAGATGGAGCGAAGACGCGATAACGAGCGGGGGAGGCACGTCCGTCCGCCCACGGACGCCCGTGTGAAACCATTATAAAAAAATGAATTCACGGGTGAAGCAGAGCTATACCAAACCGACCCAATACATGTACCGAACCGACCCAATACATGTCCTCGTTCCACACGTCCACGTCACGACGTGACGGCTCATCCCGCAGAGTCGATCGATGGTCCAGAAGTTGACCACATCCGCAACCAACACAAGTAACTAATGACGCTATTTCGTGGGAGGAATTGAAGTGGGAGGCACATGTGGAACTTAATTTATTTAAAAAGAAAAAAGGAAGTTGTCAATCACATAAACACACCCATAAATAAGTACATGCGTACACACACATAATCGAACATGAATGAAGATATCGAGTTCTATAAAGCTGCAAATGGAGTGTTTTGCGCGCATGCGCTTGTCCACTTCTTGTCTTAAAAATTCGAGTGTGTTCTCAGGGAACGTACTAATTGAAGGATGTGGGAAATATATACATCCCTCCGCTCTGCGTTATAATGCATTTTTAAAATTTTTAAACGATTTAGGGGAATACTCAAATGATGCATGTACACATGGATTAAATTAAACTCAATTCAGAAAAAAATAACAATGATGAGGGACCTAACTAGTAATTACTGTACTGTGCGCCAAACATACTTCATTGCCTCTATTTATTTATTTATTTATTTATTTTCAAATCAAAATAAAATGAAATGGCGATACACCATATATGGGAGCTTATTACTGTATCACACATAAGTTGCGAAAAAATAGCAGAAAAGGTTTTTTTTTAAATCACTGGTATATATATGCTAGTTGTTAGAGATGTGAAAACCTTAACCATGCAACATCCCTAGAAAAAACTGCATGTCAAAGAAATGGAGAATTGGAGATGTTCGGATAGAGGAAGTCCAACTCTATGGTGGAGTTGGTGAAGTGATGAATCTCGTTAGTTTGAGAAAACTACTAAAACAATCCCATACACCCACCCTAAACCAATCTCCCTGTCTGCAATATATAGGAAGCGTGACAGCTCAATTTCTTGTCGTCACATAGCCGAAATAAATAAAGGCCTTCAACACAAGCTATGCGACAAGAGCTAGAAACATATATACGACAGGCTCTGAGAGGGTCCAAAAGAGGAATGAAGCACCGGGAAGAAGAAAGATGCATGCCATATTGTTCCTTGTGTAACAAAGGCGAGGGTAGTTCACAGTAAACACCAACCAGTCAAACATGGGCAGAAATTAACCGCGCAATTGTAAGAGTCTTTTTATATCCTTTTATATTAATAGGAATATAAACTTTGGTGAAAAAAAAATTCTCCACTAGTTTCTTCAATTTGATCTCTAATAAAATCCCCTTTGGATTCGAGGATCTTTTTCTATTTCGTGTGTTTTTCTATGAAAATGGACTGATTTCTGTAAAATACCTGTACGATTCCGGTGGAAGTCCTATGTTCCAAAGGGACCCTAATTATTGACATCATTTATTCCTATGTTCTAAAGTGACCCTAGTTTAGTTTCTCACTAACTAAAGATAAAGGGCGGAGATGGCTCTCCAAAGTGTGCACAACATATATATAGCGGAGTTGTTGTGGGGTGTAATGTAGAGAGCATTTTTATTCAAGTAGTTCTCCAAACGAGGATTTAAAAAGTGAGTCTAAAAAAAGCTGGACCTACAGGGGGTAAGACCACCGCCAGACATTGTTGTGATAGAGAAGACCTTCTCACATAGGACGTGAAAACCCCCGAACCCCTGCCCCACCCTAACACAGGGGCACAGTTGCCCTGTAAGAATCGGGCCGGGCCTTTTGACATGTGCTTTGCCTATGGGACAGACGAGGGGATTTTTTTAAGTACTGCCTGAAATTCGCTCCCGCGGGGAGTTGAATCCAGGACCTATGAAGTGCCACTGAGGCTCTCTAACCAGATGGACTAAGATTATTGAAGATACAAGGAGTTACTGCATTTTAGGTGCCTGAATTTTTTTAGCAACAATCTTAGACAACCAATTACCAACCAATTAACCAACAACAAAGCCTTTTAGACAACCAATTAATATAATTAAAACACGCAAGAAATAATTTAGTTTTTTTCTAAAGTTAAATAATGATATAATTATATTTTTTGATCGGAGATATAATTATATATATGTTACTTATGTTACCTCAACAATAGCAAAAAAAACCCAGGCAACTAAAATATAGGATAAGTGAGAAATGAAAGCTCATCATCTTTGCAGTCGTCTAGCGCCAAGAAGCAAGGTTAATGTTCTAGCTAGCTAGCAAGTGACCTTATCTTATCCCCTATAGGCTGTGGCCACCATGCCGCAATATTGTGTCGACGTGTCGTAGCATGGGCGTCGACGTCGTATCGTAGTGAGCACTTCACTTGAGCACTTGCGTCACACCAAGTGCAGCAGCAGCTAGCCCTAGCTTTATTTGCAGAGTTTTCTTTGCAACTGTGCAGTGCATATGTGTGTATATATATATAGGTAGCCTCCGGTCGCACGCCACCGGCCATTTGGTCGCTGGCAGCGAGAGCAACGGCCAACGGGCAAGCTAAGGTAGCTAAGGTACCTAAGCTAGCTCGTTAGGCGGTAAGCCGGTAATAGGTAGCTAAGCTAGCTAGGTAAGGGCAGCATACGTACATCGATCAGCATGGGCGCCGGCGCCGGCAGCGTGAGGCGTGAGGCGGCGGCGCTGGTCTGGGTGCTGGTGCTCGCGGCGGCAGGCGGCGGCAGCGTCTGCGAGGCGCAGCTCCGGCGCGGGTACTACGCCGGCGTATGCCCCAACGTGGAGTCCATCGTTCGCGGCGTGGTGGCCAAGAAGATCCAGCAGACTTCCACCACGGTGGGCGCCACGGTGCGCCTCTTCTTCCACGACTGCTTCGTCGAGGTACGCACACAGACACTGACACAGCAACATTCGATCGTGTACACGCATGGGACGCGACCGCCTGAAGGTTGCAGATCGTTCGTATGGCGGTGCGATGACCATGCCGCATGAATGCGTCGACCAATGCAGGGCTGCGACGCGTCGGTGATGGTGGCGTCGACGGCGAACAACACGGCGGAGAAGGACCACCCCATCAACCTGTCCCTGGCCGGCGACGGCTTCGACACGGTGATCAGGGCCAGGGCGGCCGTGGACGCAGCGCCGGGGTGCCGCGGCAAGGTGTCGTGCGCCGACATCCTCGCCATGGCCACGAGGGACGCCATCGCGCTGGTACGCACACGCACGCCGCACGTGTTACGCACACAGCACACTGCACTTCAGTTACAAGCGAATTCACGGAAACTGAATTCGTGCATGCAGTCCGGCGGGCCGTCGTACGCGGTGGAGCTGGGTCGTCTGGACGGGCTGAGGTCGACGGCGAGCAGCGTCAACGGGAGGCTGCCGGCGCCCTTCTTCAACCTGGACCAGCTCAACCAGATGTTCGCCGCCAACGGGCTGTCGCAGGCCGACATGGTCACCCTCTCAGGTACGTTTCTGATCGTTTCTGGTCTTGCAAGCTACTCTTCAACTCATCGCATGCATTGCACGACCTCAATCATCAGTGGCCTCTGCAGACAAATGCATGGCATGCAGCACTTTTCTGAATCTGAAAAGCTAAGCCTACCTTTCCACCATAACTGCTTGCATTGCTTATGGTTGGCAATCAGACAACCACAGCCATGCACGCAACCGTCGCCACTACCTTCCGCCATGCCGAAATCCAGCAGCTCGCACATGATCGAAGTCCAATCCATGTTTCGCTTTCCCGTTCTGGAAAGCTTTCTGAAGCTTTCGTACAAAACAACATCCGTAAAAACCTCACCGACCAAGGTAGAAGAAACATCAATGACTGACGACGACCACTCACCGTGTTACCTTGCATACATGCATGCAGCCGGGCACACGGTGGGGCTGGCGCACTGCGGCACCTTCGCGGCGCGGCTGCGGGGTGCCGACGCGACGCTGGACGCCGGGTACGCGGCGCAGCTGGCGGCGTGGTGCCCGGCGGGGGTGGACCCGCGGGTGGCCGTGGCCATGGACCCCGTCACGCCGGTCACCTTCGACAACCAGTTCTTCCGCAACCTGCAGGCCGGGAAGGGCCTGCTGGCGTCGGACCAGGTGCTGCACACGGACCCCAGGTCCAGGCCCACCGTCGACGCGCTGGCCCGGAGTCGCGTCGCCTTCGAGCGGGCCTTCATCGACGCCATCACCAAGATGGGCCGCGTCGGTGTCAAAACGGCGTGGGCCCAGGGGAACGTCCGCCGCGACTGCGCCGTGCTCGGCTGAGAAAAAAAAGGAGAGAATTGGTTTAAATTTATGCGTATGTATAACTGGAATTATATATGTGAGTGTTTGCTGACGCACTCGAGCAAATAAAAAAACGATGTTATAACTCTCATGTCGGTTTCTTAAAAAAACTCAGGTAGCAGTTTAGCACTAAAAGTGCAGGTGAGCAATTCGACCACATCAAGCAACCAACCCACACAAGGCTGATGCAAGCACCGTAAGTGTACATGCATCGTTGTCCGGAGTTTGGTGTAACATTCAGGGCTGGAAAATAAACGCTTAGTGTAACCAAATAGAGGAACATACCTCCATCAGCTTTGATAATGATTGTCCTACTCGTCACACAGAAATCATCTGAACATGAAGAGACATTGGATCACAGGGTGTGTATCTTTCGACTGTGCAGAGAGAGATGATGTCGCAAGTGGTGGAGACGCTATTGTTGATGGTGTTACAAAGTCATCGATGAGAAGTAGAGGAACGTTCCCGTTCAAGATGCTACAAGCCTGCTGGCGGTAGAGAAGGCGTCCCGACGCAGCCTTCGAAAGAGAGCCATCGTGGAAGTTGGGAGCAATTATGCGAAGAGCGTAACAGGGAGAAGAGGAAAATATTAATTGACTACATTAGAATTTTCCAAACTAGAAACTACCAATAGTAGTTTTTGGTGTGTCTTTTACCAGGAGGATTGGTATATATATATATATATATATATATATATATATATATATATATATATATATATATATATATATATATATATATATATATATAGGGAGGAGAACCCCTACCTTCACATCAACTAGCAATATGGTACTAATTGATGTTGCACCTTCCACCTCTTCTTCAAAGGCTTAAAAATTAAAGCCCAACAGGGAAACACAAATATTGGGCCTTTGAGATTTATTATAATTTATGCATATTGGCTTAGGGGAACTAGACCATATAAATTCTAACATGGTCATGTACAAATACTTAGCTGGCAATATGGTTGTGATAATGATGTACTCCCTTTTGTCTTGAAAAGAATCAAACTTTATTTAAGTCTGGCCAAATTATAGAAAATAATATCGATATTTATATATCTAAAACAAATTTACTATGAAAATATATTCCATAATTAATCTGAAAAGCACTCTCCAAGCCTTTCATTTACGTCTAGTGGATAACAACCCAACGCCAACATAATTAGGAAGCAATTCATGTTCATCGATACTGAATTTGCCACAACTATAACCATGCTCTAATATAATTAGCACAAGTGGTTTCCAGCATGGCTAAACATGCCTCAATCAAGATTGATCTAACAAACATACCCTGTCATATCACTTGAAGCGACTCAATTAGTGGTTAAGCATTATTTTTCAAGTTTCAAACATATGACAAAAAAGTTCAGTGTGGAATAGTGTTGGGATTGAATCGCACCAAACACTTGGCACTTCACGTGCGCTTGTAAAATTGCACACTAAATCGTATCAACCTGGTTTCCAAAAATAAATCCTCTGGATTTCACGAGTATTCCATGAAAATCCACAAACACCCATCTAAGGCGGACGTACCCTATCAGGGTAGATGTACTTTGGGTTGTTCTAGAACCGACAGACTACCTGTAACAGCCTCAATGATCATCGAGACAACAAAAATAGCTCCAACCTAGGGTTTGGAAAATTGATTTGGATTTGAGGAATAAAACGTAAAGGCACATGTGCTCTTTACTCATTGAAACATAGTATATGCGCACACACTCATATACGTATGTCCTAACCCTATGATCTTATATACAAGCATGCATGTCCTATGGGGAAGGACATGATGATTATCTCTAAAGCTTGGGGTTGCTCAAGGGATAAGGGAGATATAGAGGTAGAACTAGCTGGGTAAGTGTTGGCGGTGATAAGGTGCTCACCATTGAAGAAATTGAACAAATGTTGCTGGTTGTTGGAGATTGATGGCAACAGCTAGTTTATTCTTTTCAGATAGAGGGTGGAATTGAAGGGCCCTCGCTTGTGGTGGCAATAGTCGATGTAGAGTGGACAAGGGCTTGGTCAGTGTTGTCACTAGAGGTCGAGGGTGCCATGAGGGGATCGGTGAGCGTCACGATTTGTGAGGTCATCGAGTGTGTTGTGTGCAATGAGAAGAGGCATTGCTTTTTTCTAGAGAGGAGGGGTTGGCAAAGTGGCCGGATGGGTCTCCGGGCCTCATCCCTCCTCCACTCCTACTAACTCCTCCAAGCCGCCTTGCCCGTTAGGCCGTTACACTATGCATTAGCATTAAAACTTGGCTAGCTAGTGAATTGAGGATTGGCAGTGGGAGCCTAGGACGGTTTATAGAGTGCAGGACCATGACTTGCATCGCATGTGCATTGAGGAGACAACCAACATAAGAGCAAGTATAATAACAGGTTGTAAGCCTGATAAATGTTGAGGTGGAAGAGAGAAAAGAGGAGAGAGAGGAAAAGCGGGCTGTAAGCTTACAGCCGGTTTAGGCACAGGAACCAAGAAACTCTGTGAGAGAGACAAGTAGGCCATGTATTAAAGGTAAAGAGCTAACTATTATATGGGTGAGCTCAGAAAAGGCTGCAAAGAACCTTACAACCAGTAAACCGGGTGTATTATTAGTCTTGCTCTAAAGCCGCACGAACTCTACGGTGAATGGTAGCCAGGTGAATATGTGATGTCCAAGGTGACTCTACTAGTCTACTTTTGTGTGCAGGCGGCGGGCACAACATTTAAGGACCTAAATGTTGAGGATGACGAGAAGGATGATGGCGCTCTATCTATATGTTGCACGCTCTTTGAATTAATTTAGATCAGATCATTAGGTGGTCATAAAATCCAGCAATATTGTTTGGTGGTTTTGTGGCCGGCCATGGGAGAGGCCTGTGTGAATGGCTTGCATCAACTGTCATTGGGTGGAAGGGACGACGTACATTAAGAAGAAAGGATAATACTTCCTCCGTTCATAAAAGAATGTAATTCTAGAACAGTACCATGTTTTAGTATATCAAATTTGATCAATTATAAATAAAAAAATATAAATATCTATAATATCAAATAAATATCATTAAATTAATTACGAAATGTATTTTCATAATAAATTGATTTTGAGTCATAAATGTGAATACTATTTACTAAAAACTTGGTCAAATATGAAACACTTTAACTGTGATGCATACCGTAGTTACAACCTTTTCAGGACAGAGGTAGTATGTCGTTGTTACAAGCTCCTTGAATTAATCTAGGCCATTAAATGATCATAAAATGCAAACGGTGTTGCGGAGTCCTAAGTGGCCATTGGAGAGGCATAGGAGTGGCTCGGGCCCACTTGTCGTTAGGAGGAAGGGATGGCATACATAAGAATCACTATTGTGTTAAAATAGTATATAAATATTATATAAGTATAGATAAGGATGGTATATGGTTATCAGTGTTTTGAATTTACGGATGTATATGGTTTTGTCCCCTACATTTTTCTCTACCCTCATCCCAGTTAAGAACTAATAGCATTTGTACAAGAAGATGGACGTTATTAGGGTTTTGGATTTAGTCACGTAGGATTATCCCTCAGAGTTCATTTATACAAGAAGATGGCCATATAATAGAGTTGTTTATTTAGGGTTTATTAAGATCCTTCTATTTAGAATTTAAAATTGTTTAATATTTGTCCCCTAATTAAAGTTTGGTATATGCAAACACCGCCCCTCTCCCCTGCACACACTAGTACCACCAATTCGGGGCCGAATAACGTTTTGTTTGGGGCCCAGCGCAATTATATTTGATTCGTTTATTTGCCCAACAAGGAACAATAACGGGTCTGTTAGCTTCTTTTACTTTGCGCTTCTGAATGATGTGTTCATGCGTCTCTATGTTAACAAATGGGGGTTATAGTTTGCTTAGGAATTTGCATTGTCCGATGTTTTTTTTTATTCTGGCTGGACCATCCGGTTGTTGGCCGGCTAAAAGAAATTAAACACGAATACCAAGTAGACTTTGTATATGTTCTATCACTGCTACGTACTACGTGCTCACACGCGCTGCCATGTGCTTTTGCACGTTAAATATATTTTACAAATTACAACATACGCTAGCTAGTCAAGTCTACAGTAATAAACCCACCCAGACCTGAATCTGATCTGTGAATCTCTCTCGCCCCTCAGCTCATTGTTGTGGGCTTCTTTCAATCCTCTACTAGTCAGCTGGAGATCAGAAAGAGGCCGGCGAGTTTTGTAATATGTTTGGTTTGATGCTTTTTCTTTAAAGACATCTGATGCCTGAACTCTTTTCATTATCTAAAAAAAATTATATACTGAAGAAAAAGAGCTAAGTGATGTTATGGTCTGACACTCTGACTCAATGCACGTGATGTTCATGGCACCCGATGCACGTGATGGCTCTTGCTCCTAGCATTACCGATCGAAGAAAAACACGAATACCGAGTAGACATTTGTCTATACTCTATGACTGCTACGTACTACGTGCTCACTCGTGCGTCCATGTGCTTGTGCACGTTAAACTAGCTAGTCAAGTCCACAGTATTAGTAAACCCACCCATATACCTGATCTGATGTGTGAACCTATCTCTCTCGCCCCTCATTGTTGTGAGCTCCTTCCCATCAGTCAGCTGGTAGAGATAGATCAGAAAGAGGCTGGCCGGCGAGATCGAGCGAGATGGCGGAGACGGTGCTGAGCATGGCGAGGTCCATGCTGGGGAGCGCCGTCAGCAAGGCCGCCGCCGCCGCCGCCCAAGAGATGAGTCTGCTCATGGGGGTGCAGAAGGAGATCTGGTACGCACGTTGAGTTGTTACTCTCCACTTGTCGCAGTTCCTTGCTGGATACATAGTGTTTCTTCAGTCGTTTGGTACGTAGGCAACCAAAAGGGCTTGCTTTGCGTTGCTCTCCTAGCAAGCTCATCACTCGTCCTAGCCAAGCCAGTAGAAAGCTTTTCGTTGGGCGTGCGGGTGAGCCAGATCTCAGCTCGCCCCCGCACTCTAGTCCAGTTCGGAAACACGCACGGGTAGCAGCGACAAGGCTGTGCTGCCGAGTTCGAGTTCAACGTCCACCTTGCCTCGATCTGGTCCATGGCCACCATAGCCGCAAGCCTGAGTTCCCCGCCAGCGAGATGGAGGTCGCCGCTAGCGTCGTCCCTCACACTGGATTGGCCGATTGGGGCTGCAGCTCACCCACACGGCTACACTGTCCCAGGCTCCCTCGCGTCTAGCTGCCAGCCTGCTAGTCATCACCTCCTCCTTACCTCCTGAAGGGGATAAGGTGGGTCAAAGGGCCTAGCTAGTGCAATATTTTCTCACCTTTCTTCTACTCCCACTACCAGTTAGAGTAGGCTGCATTTTTAATGAGGGAACAAAGTTCCAACCTCTGCTATCCGGGGATGGTACACAGCTGATAGTCAAGATACAAATCAAAGCCACAGGGCTTATGCAGCCAGAAGAAACAAAAAACAAGATTCAACCCAGCTAATGAGCGCAGTAAGCAAAGCAAAGAGCTAAGCCTCAATGCGGCTCCTGAAGTTCCAACCACACTTCGCAAAGACAGCTAAAAGCAAAGTCTCGCATCTTCTGCAGCCTTCCATGGTCAAAGGTCGCTCCTCCTCTCTATGTAGCATAGACCAGTGTCGGATCCAAAAGGTCACACTGAAAATTACCTGCATACATGTATTAGATTTAGCCTTGATAAATACCATATCATTTCTATTCAATCATATCGCCCAACAAAGTGTAGCCACTCCTAGCAAAAATTTGGTTTCTGAGCTTTAGACTTAATCCTTGTGTTTGTCGGAGTAGGCTGCATGGTTCTTCTGTTTATCCTTGTGTAACCTTACCAAGCGAGGATATGGGGACAAGCTAGCTTGCTTATTTGGATGTCCTGTCTAAGTGTTCTGGACTTTTTCGTGGTCCACAAATATTATCGTTGCCCTAAGCAACAGACCAGCCCAAGCCACGGCTAGGGCGACGTCGACAGCTTGCTGATCAGGATGTTGGTGGCAGGAGGGAAATTAAGAAGGTTTGTTAGGCAAGTTTATCAAGGGCTAGTGGTGGAAGGAGGGACATTAGTAAGATTTGTTAGGCAAGTTTATCAAGGGCACATTAGTTTGGATTATAATCATCAAAGAGAATAAACTTTGTTGTGTAGGGCGTGGGTTTCTCTTCGATAGTGGCGCTGGGTTCTTCCTGCCGCCACCGTCGACCGCGACCCTCCACTAGTTCCTCGCTATCCTTCGTGTTCTTTGCCTCAATCCCAATTGCTCCTACGCTCACAACTATGCTCTCCTCACCGATTAGCCCACGCATGCACGTGAAGGACTCACGCTTGAGGTGCCCCGGCCATCAAAGGGCTGGCCACACCACCATAGCCGGCGAAGAACTTTCAGTAATACCTAGTGAGTCCTAGGAAGTCGTGCAAAGCACATGTTTTGTGCAGACGCGGCCACTTCTCCACTACCGCCACCTTGTCTAGATCCATGACAACGCCCTTGGACAATGTGATATGGCTGAGGTACCCCACAGAGGATTCACCAAAGAATTAAGCACTTGGAACATTTTGCGAAGAGGTGGTGGTCGCGCATCTCTTGCAGCATGGCCTCCACATGCTATAAGTGCTCAGCCTAAGAATAGCAATGCACAAGAATATCATCAAAAAATACAAGTACTGAGTGGCGGATGAATGTTTAAAGAAGATCATTCATGAAAGTATGGAATGTTGCTAGGGCATTCGTGAGGCCAACGACAAGATGAGGAACTCAAACCGGCCACGGTGGGTTTGGAAAACTGTCTTGGCGGTGTCATTAGAGTGCATGCACAATTGGTGGTAGCTCATCAACGACCGGAATGGGGAATTTGTCCTTGACTGTCTTGTCGCTAAGGGCATGGTAGTCGATGCAGAAGCGCCAACCGCCATCGTGCTTCTTGTCAAGGAGCACAAGGGTGGAAAATGGCAATGTCAATCTCCAATGATCCCTTTTTTGACCGAAATCTCTAATGATCCCTTGGGTGAGCATATCCTCACACTGGGGTCCAATGTTGTCCTTCAAGAGCTGCAGTTAGTGGTACAGTCGCACGACTATCGACATCGAGTCGAGCATCAGGTGGATGCGATAGTTGTGGCGGCATTAGGGCAGAAGGTTGTGGGGCTCGGCGAAGATGTCGTTGTAGGCCTGTAGCATCTTCAAGGAGGGCGCGTGGGTCAGAGACGGTGCAGGTGGCCAACTGGCGTGTACCAACGCCATGCTAGACCACAGGTAGGGCATGTACCATGTCCGGACCTCTTGATCCATGTCTGACCCTCCCGATCCTATGGATTGGGTAGCCGAATTGGATCACATCCTAGCCTAGCTCATCACTCTCAACAATCAGAAGGACTCTTATGACAAACAGATTGTGTGCACTGAGGATTTCTAGTCGGGTGAGGATACCAGTGACCTCACCGATGATTCCACTTCTGAAGGGCAACTCAACCGTGGTGGCGGTGGCAACAATGGTGGTGGTGGTGGTGGTAGCAGCGGTAGCAGTGACAATAGCGGTGGCAGTGCCGATGATTTTTGCCACGATCACTACTATCACCATGATGGTCGCTATGGCTGTCCTTGCCACCCAAAGCTCAACTTTCCATCAAACAACAACGAGTCCGATCCGCTGGAATAGCCGAATAAATGCAACTTGCTGCGGCCATCGCACACTTGAGGACAAGGTGTGGATGACATCTCTCTATGTTGATGGTGTGGCGGTGGACTAGTACTGTTAAATGGAACATGACTTTTGCATTCCTGGCCATGCTTCATTGAGTTCATCAATTTGCGCTTCGGTCTCCAATTTGCTCCAATGTCCTCATGGAGTTGGAGGCCCTGCATCGCTTTGGTTCTGTGGAGGAGTACTAGCGAAGTTCCATAACACTCCTTTGCCATTGTGACAATCTAACCTCACATCATAGGATAAACCTCTTCATGACCGGCTTGGTGTAGCCACTGTGTTCCAATGTTGAACTCTAGCGTCTATCTAATCTATAGACGATCATGAGTTTGGTGCGGGCGTATGAATGTCACTAGCATGAGGTGGGTTCAGTCGCGACCTATGGCACGACCAAGACAACTTTGCGCAGCCATGCAACACCCACAACCACCATAGTGGCACCCTCAGAAACACCTACCAATGCCAGGCCGGAGGGGCCACGCCCTCGCTTCCATCCCTTAACACCCAAGGAGATGTAAGAGAAGTGCCAGAATGGTCAATGCTATATGTCCACTCGGTGGCCTCAGCATCTGTGCAATGCCCATGAAGCCGGCCATGAGGGGACACACAAAACACTTCTCCATGCCTCCTTTTACAATGAGCACGCCCATCATCTGGTGCGTGGCTTTGTCCACAGCTATGAGGTGTGCCAGCAGAACAAGATAGAACATCTCCATCTAGCTTGTCTCCTCTAGCCAGTGCTAGTTCTGGAGCATGTCTAGAGTGACATCTCCATATACTTTGTCATTCCCTCGTGTCGGTGGCAAGTCTATGATCCTCACCATCATCGATGGCTTCTCCAGGCTAGCACAATTCATTGCTTTAGGCCACCCTAATCGACTAGCTCTATTTCTCGGGCCTTCTTCAAAAAACTTTGGGCATCTTCATGACATTCCATGCACCGCTGTGAGTGACCGTGACCCAGTCTTCACCAACAACTTCTAGGAGGAGTTGATCAAGCTAGTGAGTGTCCAATTCTTGTAGAGTTTGGCCTTCCATCCCTATACAAATGGTCAGTCCGAGGTGACAAATTGCATCATCATTAAGGTACCTGCGGTGTCTAGCTGGGGATCATCCAAGTTCCTGGTTATAGTGGTTTCCATGGTTAGGATATTTTTAAAATACTTAATACTGTTGTAACATGGCTTTGGCGGGTGGCGAAGGCCCCCGACAGCGGGGTATCGCAAAGGCGTATTCGACCGTCTTAGGACTGAGACCCGGCGCTGACTAAAGGAACTTTCCCAGCTCTGCTCGAAGGGTGCTGAATCTCCTTTTCATCGCGGACTCCGCCAAGGCCAGGCACGCATCCTGCCGACCGCTCAGGCGGGCGTCTCCGGTATTACGGGCGGAGGCCGCCTTATCTCTAAACTAATCAAACAAACGATCTTGCCTAAGTGTGCGTAAGTACTCAAGCGCAGGCGCTCGCGGTCCGTGCAAGCGCGCCAGCATGGCCCCTGCGCGGCCGGGCGGAGACCTACGGATGATGTCTCCGCCTGGACCGGCGGAGACTCTCCAAGGCGACGGCACGCCCCTGAAGGCGGAGGCCAGCGGCCGGGCGGAGACCTGCGGATGATGCCCCCGCTCGGACCGGCGGAGATTCTCCAAGGCGACGGTGCGCCCCTGAAGGCAGAGGCCAGTGGCGAGAACCATGGCCCCCGCGCGGCCGAGCGGAGACCCGCGGGTAATGTCTCTGACCGTCCGGCGGAGACCCGCCGAGGCAGCGGCGTGCCCCTAGAGATGAAGGCCAGCGCCGGGGACCCAGGCCTTTGCGCCGAAGACCGAGCTACAGTGGGCCAGTTGCTCATGGAAGCCCATCACTTGAAGACGGTATGGCAGGATTGCCCCGCGAACAAGAGGCTAGCGGCGGAATATTCCAAGAATGTACTGTAGCAGTTGAGGGGCATTGTAATAAATTCTGTTATGTAGTAGTTGAGTCCTATAAATAGGGGACACTTGTAACCGTGGAGGTTGGTTGGTGGACGAATTAATGAAACCATAGCTTTCCATGTTATTCCCTTACTCACCGCTCTCCCCCTCATCGTTCT